GTCTACACACGGACATACACTACAAAGCTACATATGAACATACACTATCTACATACGGACATGCACTACATAGTTACATACGGACATTCACTATCTACAAAGCCACATAGCATAGCGTAGATAGCTAGCTCGAATTCAGTCGCTGTCTGGAGGGGACTTCTAGCGGCCGGCTGCTCTGATCGGTACTTTTCCGCTGTTTCTTCGGCCAGCACCAGGCGAAAGCCGGACCAGTGCCTTAACAAAGTGCCACGTACAGCACGAGATCTTTCCTTACTAATCCTTGTCGTTTCCCTCACACACGCACGCGCCGCAATGCCATCCGTATCCGGAGACCGGGCGGGAGTTGCCCCCGCTGGGGGAGATTCCTGGAAGGGGAAATCCCACGTAAGCCTACGTGTAAGTTGGCGGCGACTCTCACCATTCAGCGGCGCCAACTCCCAGGATAAAACATTCACTACACTAACGGGACGTTTCAACATAGCAGGTGACGTGCCCGAAGCCATTAACAATCATCATCTTCTTCCCGCCATCACCTACATCCTTCCCATTTTCCCTCCCTTCTCCTCCTCCCCTTCATCCCCCATTCTCTCTCCCTCCCTCACTTCGCGTTTCTCAAGCCCTTTCCTTCCTTCCTTCCCTCGTCGCTTCCCCTCCCTCCTTTCATCCTCTTTTCTCCTGCCTTCTTCCCCTCCCGCCGAGACCCCGCCCCCTTTTTTCTCTTCCCTTGCCAGCCCGCGCTCTCCCCTCCCCCTCGCTGCCCCCGTCCCTCCGATCTGTCGCATGAAGCCGCGGCGCGCTCGACTCTTTTAGAGGGGCCTTCACAAAGCGCTCTCTGAGGAGCGGTCGTTGGTTCGACGCACACGGCGCTGAGGAAGGGGCCGATTGAGGGTTGGCGGTCGACGGGCTAATTTTGCTTGGGACGATCTAAAAACAGGCCTATTTTGCACGTCAGGGTACCCGAGACGAAACCTGGATGAGTAATGTCTTCGCACTGAAAAAAGGTCGAGATTTATGGTGCGATCAATTTTGATTTATAGGGAATGAACACGAACTGGTACGAAGAGACCATGTCAATTGAGGCGAGATCACAGAAGGATATCCTGTATTAAACCACAGAAGAGGAGAGAGCTTGCACAATTGATGTAAGAAAATGAATATATGATTAATATAAATGGATATAAGAATTTAAGTATAATAAACATTTGAAGTTCAAGGAATAATCACTTCAGAATCTTGACTTACACAAGATTGATTAAAATAACTACGACTTAATAATAGTGAAGAAAAGGAATACTATAAGAGAAAAATCGATGGCTAACTTTCTAACGATCTTTATTGAATTCGTCAGTAATTGAAGAAAGTCAATTGGTTGATTCAAAAGAGCAGAATGGAAGGAACGGGAGGAAGAAGAAGAAATGAAAGATTCAAGAGGGGTTATAAGGAGAATAAGAAAGAAAATAAGTCAAAGAAGTTTTTTAAAAAAGTAGTTGAAAGGGAAAAATTGAAGAGAAAAACGTTGAAGGAATCGTCGAAGAGGGAATAGTTGAAAAGGAAGAGGTTGAAGAGTAAGAGGTTCAAGAGGAAGATGAATAGGTTGAAGAGGAAGAATTGAAGAGGAAGAGGTTGAAGAGGAAGAGGTTGAAGAGGAGGAGGTTGAAGAGGAGGAGGTTGAAGAGGAGGAGGTTGAAGAGGAGGAGGTTGAAGAGGCAGAGGTTGAAGAGGCAGAGGTTGAAGAGGCAGAGGTTGAAGAGGCAGAGGTTGAAGGAGGAAGATGTTGAAGGAGGACTCACGCCGAAGAGGTCCTTCCAGGCGAGGTAGACGCAGTGCACGTGGAAGCGCACCATCTGCCGCGCCTCGTAGCGCCGGTAGCTCTCCGCCAGCACGCGCTCCAGCAGCTCCTCGCGCACCGCCAGCGCCGCCATGTCGCGCTGCTCCGCCTCCACCGCCCGCGCCCTGCGCACGCGCGAGCCCGCCTCCCTCACCCACCCGCTCAACAACTCAACCGCTCACTCGCTCTGCTCTCTACCTCTCACCCGCTCAAGAACTCAACCACTCACTCACCCACTCACTGGCTCTCCCCTCTACCTCTCACCCACTCAACAATTCAACCGCTCACTCACCCACTCATTGGCTCTCCCCTCTACCTCTCACCCACTCAACAACTCAACCGCTCACCTCCTCACTCGTCCTTCCACCCGTTTATTCCCTTACCTACTCACCCGAGTGGGTACTCTTCCACTCAACAACTCTCTCGCTCACCTGCTCTCCCTTCTCCCTCTCATCCACTCAACAACTCTACCGCTCACCCATCCACTCACTCGCTCTCCCCTCTACCTCTCACCCACTCAACAACTCAACCGCTCACCCACCCACTCACTCGTTCTCCCCTCTACCTCTCACCCACTCAACAATTCAACCGCTCACTCACCCACTCATTGGCTCTCCCCTCTACCTCTCATCCACTCAACAACTCTACCGCTCACCCATCCACTCACTCGCTCTCCTATCTCCCTCTCACCCACTCAACCGCTCACCTTTTCACTCGTCCTCTCAACCTCTTTTTCACTTACTTATTCCCCCGCTCACCCACCCACTCCTACAAAAATACAATTTTTTTTTTAATATGAATAGTTTTCAAGTGATTTTGCGTGAAATAAAGGCAATTTTAAAAACATCTTCTCAAAAACGGATTTGAGATATTTTTATAACTTTTTAAGCGGATAGTGCTACATGTATTGAATAACGTGACGTTGATGTATTCTTTTGATTTTCCAAACATCTACATAAAAAATATTTTTTAAAATATATCTCATGTCGGTAATATTAACATCGCGGACATTTTCTATACAATATTACATTTCAGAACAAAAGTGTTTCAAATTAATTTTTTAACGTTCCTCGAAAACTTAAAACTTTTCTATAAAAACAACGTCAAAATTGAGCATTTTCGGAAATGTGTCAAACGACATTTTCTCACGAACGGCTCTAAATTTTTCCAAAAGAAATTGTATGTGGGACCACGTTTTACGCTTCTGTTATATTCTTAAAGACATATTTCAATTCTGCAATAAAGGGACCGTAAAATTGAGAAAATATTAAAAGATAAGTAGGCCGATAAGTAACAAGCAGCTGGGAAGAAGATGGGACAATAATGAAAAGCTAGCCCACACTAGATTAGAAAACTAGTGCGAGAAAGTCTGCGCTATTCTCAAGCACCGCTAGTTATTCTTGCCTAATGTAAAGCATTTCGTGCCAAATTTGAGGTCAATCACTCCAGTGGTTCTTAAGGTTTTGTAGTTATCTTTCTTTCACATAATAGATTGTTCCGGTACTCAGCCGAAACTTCTATTGAAGTACACTCTAGGTATACCTGAAACTCATTAGAAGTCTCGGCTGATCAGAACACACGATCTCTAGAATTGCCATTTTTCGGTGCGGCGCGATGGCAGATTAGACGAAAATACTCCACAGTTGGGACTTCAACGTAAAACCTTACGTACTAAAAACCATGAACTTCCGTTTGATCTTGTCGTAGATTTGATGAGTTTTCATTTACAATTACATGGGAATTAAAGGTCTTTAATTTGTAGTATCAGGACCGACGAAATAATGTAAGGTATCGGTACAAATGTGTGAGGGCACTTATAAAATATTTACAGGCATGTAAATTTCTGTATTATTTCTTCTTACAATAGATTTTATTGTCATAGTAGTTAAATAAATACCCATCGTCGCTCTAGTTCTCAATGGCTATTAGTTCGCTATTCCCGATTCGCGATAACACAGAATATGACTTAATAATCAACTTGCGCAAAACTTTTAATTTTGAAAATATATTAATTTACTAAATTAGAAAAGAGGCACGATAAAAATTAATGCAATAAATGTTCAAATTATAGTAAATATTATGGAATGTGTTAAGTTGATTGATTTATTAGCGATTCCGGGCGCTTTAACAGCTAAGATCATTAGTCCCGTAAGTGGAGTGCCTGTTTTCATCGCGGGATGTGACGGTGATCTTGCCCAGCTGGATGGCGAGATCTGGCGCCAACCTGTGTAGTCGTGAACGTCACGTCGACTTGTGAAGATATGGAACGCCTTGGGCTTCGCCGGAAACCTTCAATGGGTCCCGGGACAATGAACCGGCTATACCTCTCTCTCGTCGGACCTGGGTCGAAACGATTAATACTCGCAGACTAAGTTTCTCCTTGGGTCTCGCCAGACAGGGGCCCCAAAATATTTTAAACTAAACGTTATAGTAGTTCATTAAACAATAAAGATATTTAAATAATTGTTTTTTTAATTGCAAAGGTTATACTAGTTTATTTTCAGATTCATATTGATTTCTTGTGTCCATTTTGGAATATTATTAGGGGGTTCCCACAGTTTGGTCTTGCCTAGGACCCCTTAAAACATTAATCCCGGCTTGCTCATTTTAAATTCACTGACAAATTTTATGTAAAAATGCAATTACCTCAATTGTAATCAGCGTAATCATGTTTGCACATTTGCGAGTATAAATAAGTATTATATTCGTGAAAAACGTGTGGGGAAATCGAATCAGATCAAGGGAACTTACCAAATAGCATCTGGGAGGCCTGTAATTTTTTCAGACAAAGGATATTCCTCCTCTTCTGCTTCTAATGTTACAGATTCTTTCTTGCCAGTACTTCTCCTCATGATTTCCCACTTGGTTTATCTTCCTTATTGATCGAACAAGAAAGTACAGGAGTCCGATTCATCAAACAAGTTGAACAATTGGCATATATCTATTAGCTATTACAGTAATAAATTGGGTAGCTTCAAATTCGTCTTTCTTTATTTGGGACAGTAATCAGTACAGCTCTTCTTTTAAACAGTCCTTTTGAATAAACACAAAAACTCGAACGTGCTCGATATTCTACATCGATAACATTCGATTTTTTACGAGGGTAAGTTCGAATCTCAGAGATGGTAATAGTTCCTCACTGAGTGTTTAGAGCGCAGCAGGCGAAAGACCCTGGCGTCATTGAACGGCTGTAACGGGCAGTACTTTGCAAGGAAAGGAGAATGGATACTTGTCTAAAATTAGAGTAATTTGCATTTATAGCCAACGTTGCCATACTCTTCTACACTGGGACTCAGCCTGTGATTCAGGAAAACATGAAATTTATTTTTAGAGTTCTTTTTTCTTAATTACAGTGATCCTTGTCGTTTATATTATGAAAGATAGATGTCGCGCTTCGATGCGCTATGTTTTGTTCGTGATATGCCGGACATTCAAATTCCCGCTGGAGTTGCGAGCCGGTAGGTGTTGGTATGAATCCGGGGTGTTTCACGTGGTTGAGATAGGTAATCTTTAATATGTCATGCTGAATATTTTGTAGTCGATATGTGTCATTAATTTTTAAAATGGTATGGAGATTATCCGGTGTTATTGAGCAAATGCTGCTGGTTTTGTAAACATAACCTTAACTTTTATTGTGTTTTTATTTTCAGATCCATGTTTGTTTAAGTTTTTGAATATATCGTTGAAGACCATTCCCTTAGTCCTAAAGAATGAACACCTTGCAAGGAATCTTCGACAATGGCCGTAATATATTTTAATTATTAAATGTATTAAGTGAAGTTAGTATCTCAACTAATGTTGTTTTCTTTTGGTATTTTATAGGATCAACGAGCAAGCGAAATTTTATTCAAGAAAATGTTAGGCAGTTGCGAACCTTACAGAAATCGTGGAATAAAAAAGAGAAAAGCACCGAACCACCTCCAAAGCCAAATAAATATCAACATATCACAGCTAAAGTTCCTGCACATATAACAGTAAGCTATCAAAAACTAGCTGTTAAAAACGGCTCGGTTTATTGTGTACTATTTTAATGTGTTTAATGTAATACATGTGGGTGTATTTATTATATTTTGTGATGTTTTAGGCTAGTGCTACTTTAAAACCGAAGGATTCATCTGCACACCCAGTCGAAAGGACAAGGAATGGTACTATTCCCACTAGGTCATCCTTTAGTTCAGGTTTATCAACTGGACATAGTGGTGGCACTGCCCAAAGTAGATCAAGTACAAGATTGTTGTCCAAAGCAATGCCTGCAAGGAAATCTCGAATATATCCACTTTCAGCTGGTAATAAGTCAGTAAGTTGAGGCAAGTTTAATGATAATTCATGCACTCAGTCATTACTACTTTTTTTTTCCATTTTTTTGTACATGTAGAAAATTTGAAGTATTGAAAAGAAAATTTGCAATGAAAAATGTTTTAATTTTTTTGGTAGATCCAAAACCTTTTTTTCCATTAAAATGGTAGCCGCTGAAAGTGTGTGATGAAGATGTCAAAAATAGCTTCCTCAAGTATTCATTGAGATTTAATTTTAATGAATGTTATAAGCATATGTACATTTATTGACTTTATATGACAACAATAGTACAAGTTAGTTTTGTTATATATAATTTTTCTTTACAGTACAAGGCCCAATCTGCTACTGTAACTCTAATTACACATACCAATATTGTTAGTGCAATATTACAAACTATTATATTACTGTTATTACTTTATCCCATAATAAAACATAATAAAAAAAAAAACAGTGACAATCCAAAATGACAACACAGATGTTGCAAATGCAACTTTTTTTTTCTGAAGTAGAGAAATTGCTAATTAAACCTTGAAACTGTGGAATTAAGTAAGTTGAGGCATTTACTAAACAGGATTTATATTTCTGAAGTTCATTATGAAATATTTCGGTAGTATTTTGTTGTTTTTGTGATAATTTATTTATTCTGAAATTTTTTGTGTTTTCTGTCATATTTTTTTCTTCCATTCTTTTGAATATTAATTTACCAAATACCTGTAGGAAGCAGTACCTTTTTGTAACTTCCAACAACATTCATCATGTAATCATATCACATGTGTAAAATCTTCTTCAGTTTTAATGTGTTGCACATTATGTTTGATTTTATTAGAAGATTTTCTACTGCATCTGTATGTTATTACTTAATTAAAGTGTCCAAAATTTGTTTTTATTTACTCAGTATTCTAATTATTCATGCATTTGTTGTAGAATACACTAGAGAGGGAGATTCCCAACAAACCTGTGAGTAATGGTGCTGTATTTCATGGAAAAAAAACAAATTCTGTTTCAAAAAGTTTATCAGCTGTGTCTCTTTCTGGGTATGTATGTCTCGATTTGATGTGTATTTGGGTAGAATATCTATCATAAGTTGCAATTAAAAATTAAATCAAATAAGCCAGTGTTTCTCTGCTGCCATAGGTGTAGTATTTATGATGTAATCTCAGAGAAATTGCACTTAAAATAATTTGTATTTATTGACGTCAAAAATATTTAAAAACTGAGTGTGATGTGCTGTGGGGAGAAGTTAATTTGAAGTTACATTTACATTGAGTTGCATTAGTTCATCTAATATATTTGCATTGAAAATTGAAGGACCCAGTAGAGCAAGGAATTAATCCACATTGGCCCAGTTCTGAAATATTTAGGGTTTTGTTTCATAATATAACTCGGTACATTTTTAAACTTGTAAATGTAGACTTGCATGTAACTCCAAACTGGATTTAAATAACATATTACACTCCAAGAATAACATTTGAAGTTATATTTAATGCTAACTCAAATTCACTAAAAATGTGGGATGGCCCCTTGTTCTAGTGAGCCCTTTAACTTTTATGTCCTGTTTCTCTCTGGAAGATAAAACATTTTTGTAGGGTGATTGTTTTTTGAACTTGAATTGTATAGAATAACCTATATAATGAATTATGTATTAAGTATCGGTTATATCTTTTCACTTCTGGAATGATTAGGTCAGAAGTACCAAAGGAGAGCTCTGACGTGATGCATCGTGCTGTGTCTGAAAATTCCATATCTGTTGAGCCTGTTCGAAGTTTGGGATGTCAGACTGTAGCTCCTGAAGACAAAGACGGCATATTCAACGATGGAGTTATAAAGTACCCATCAACTTGCTGTTTGGGTGTCATACAAACAGAAGCACCGTGCAAAGCTGGACGCCCCCCTACCTGTGATTCAGCTCAACAGACTGAAATCTTTTCACGGGTTTCATCGTGCATTTCATCAACTAGCCCCACTCGCCCGAGTACTGTTCCTCTAGATAATGCATCTTCAAGCTCAAAACCACTATGCAATAAAGTGTCTCCACCTGCTCATGTAAGATATTGTTTGTTGGTTGATTGGTGCATGACTAAATACTAGTTTAACTTACTTTCTTTCAAATAGGTATTATTTTTATAATGCATTTTCTTGCATGTGAAATATTACTAACATAAGTGTAGTTGTGCTGCAGATTGTTAGAACTAATAAATTTAAACAAGATAAAGAGGTAGATTTTTCTGTTCAATTGAACTCAATGATAACTGTGGTTAGTAATATGATAAGGAAAGATGGTGGTTTTATATGATGGTTGAATGAATATGTAAGAATGGCAACTTCTACTCAAAAATCCAAAAATTTGATATTCCTGGATAGGGAATTACCGCCCAGGTGCATCAAATTAATTTAATACAAAAAACGTAGAAATGTTTTGATTTCACTTAAAAATAGGCACATAGACAATCCACAACACACATTGTCATGCAAAACTAAGAAAACTCTTCTTCGTAGGCAAGGTTGGTTAAATTTTGTGCCCCCCCTCACCCACCCGCCTACTCACTTTTAAGAAACAACTTTAAAAAACCACATATGCTTAATAACTCATTGAAATGTTTTAATAATTTTAAGTAAATAACAAAACTTATATTTTTCATTAAATACTCCAATTTAATTGCAACAAACATGAATAAACAACAAAAGTAGAAAATAAATTAAACTGCCAAAAAAGTGTGTTTGTGTGGGGTGGGGGTGTAATAAATATAAAACTGTTCTCGCTTTTAAAATAAGTATTTTCAAAGTGCAGAATGTCCACAAGGGTCCAACCAGTACAGGTATATTTAGTTAATATCATCATCATCATCATCATCATCATGAAGTGCAGGATGAAAGGCCTGTTCCTAGTTAAGCAGTAGACCTGAAATATTTCAATCTTCCACATGTTCCTGCATGATCCACTTCGTTCTTGGTCTTCCTTTATCTCTCTATCCAAGTGGTTTATATTTTTGAGGGCAGCCTTTGGGAATCTTTCTTCTTTCATTCTTTTAATATCTTCCATCCATTTTTTCTGTTTTTTTTTTAACTTCCCTAACTGTCATGCTTGACTTCAATCCTTTCCTCATGTATTCCTCATTTATTCTATTTCTCTGACAATCCAGTCAAATGTAGCCAAGGAGGTGTCTTGGGGGCCTCATTTGATTTTCTTCTAGTCTTGGTTCTCGTTGTTCTAGGATCCAGGTTTTTGATCAATAGATTATCATATTATTATTATAATAGCATTATCTTAGCTGTCGTATTGTATGTTCTTACTTTTGGTTACTTATTTATTATATTTGGTTTCCTGTGTCATGTCCTTCCCAAAATGCGTTTAAATTATTTCATTAATTCTATTATATTTCAAAACTTTGTGATGCTGGTATTGGGAATTATGAACAATGTCATTGCCCAAATATTTCAATGTTGAAACTCGCTTTTGTATTTCTCCTTGAATTACTATTTTCACTCCTCTTAGTTCCTTTCCTTGGAAGGCCATTGTTTTTGTTTTCTTTGTTGAGATTTTCATGCCATAGGTATTTTTTCTATTTTGTTCAGTTTATGTGTTGCTATTTGGAGTTTTTCCGATACAGCCAAAATTATTTGGTCATCTGCAAATAATATGGTTTGTATAGTCTGTTTTTTGTTCTGTTGAATGCTTTGCTTTACTGACTTTTTTCATTCTGTGATGAGACTATTGGTATAAATATTGTAAAGGTTGAATGATAAGTTGCATCCCTGCCTCAGTCCTCTGTTTGTATGAAGTGATTTTGTTATAATCTTATAACTAATTTTTATAGTGAGTCCATATAGTGCGGTTTGATTTCTTCAATAATTTCTCCTGGTATTTCATCATTTATTAACCCTTTTCACCACATCATAAGCCTTTTTAATGTCCATGAATGTCATATACATTGGTAAGTTTCTTTCATTTCTTTTGTCTAATACAGATTGTAGTGTAAAAATAGCATCCTTTGTGCTCCTGCCCTTACTGAATCCTCATTGTTCTTCGCCCACAAAGTTTTCACTGTGCTCATTCATTCTATTCCTTAATATGTTAGCAAATGATTTTGAGGTGTTTAGTAGTAATGTTATCTCTCTGTAGTTGTTGGAGTCTCATTTTATGTCTTTCTTATATGTATTTGTTATCAAACTTGTTCACCATTCTGTGGAGGTAAGGTTCTCTGTCTATATTTTGTAGTTCTATCAAAATCCTTTTTAGTGCTTTTCCTCCACATTCAGCAAGTTCTGTGTTAATTTCATCTCTTCCAGGAATTTTTGTTTTTAATTTTTCAAGTTCTTCTATTGTTATTTCTTCCACTGGTTGATTTTCTAAATCTGAAGTCCTGTTTACACATGTATATGTAGTTCTCTTTTTTCAACAATTTTTTGTTTTATCCCCTCTGACTGTGGTATTAGGTTTATTTTCACTTTGTACCTTGTTCAGCCCCAAAAATTTTTAGAAATATAAAGCCAACTCTCATTGGGTCAGTGATATCTTTCTCTAATGATTTTACAAATTTCTCAGTATTTTCTTTTTGTTCTTGTTTCTTTCTTTGTTTTTGTTCTCTACTCTTTATATGTACTATGTTGTCCTCTTGTTTCTGTGTGTGTAGGAATTTCTTGCAGGCTTTCTTGTTTAGAATGATTTCTTGAATTTCTTCATTCCAGGATCTTATTCATTTCTCCTTCTTTTGGTCTTGTAACTCCTCCTTCAGTTTCAGAAGTTTGAAATATGTAGGTTGAATTTGTTCACGTGAGGGACTTAGGGCATGTACTTTTTAACTATAAATTATATTAATAACTTTCTTAACCACAGTGCAACTCGTCAGATGTATCTGTATTGGAGTGTGTAATTCGTACTTTCCTGTGATTCATTTATATGGTACATTTTATCTCTATTCAATACCTGAAAAGAAACTTATTTTTATGCGAGTCAGTTCTGATATATAATTTTTTTATAAAAATTTTAAGTTGTGTATTAATTGATTTTTAAATGATACAAAAATACCAACCATATGTGAAATATGTTCTGTAATGTTTTAGGAGCGGCTTTTGCAACGTTTTAAAGATATGTCTATTGGTGCTGGAAAGAACCAAGCTTCTGCTGTGATGAATTTAAAAAACAACAGTCAAAAGTAAGTGTTGTAATTTTACTTATTACAACGTGAGCATTGCAAATATACTGTTTGCTCTAGAAAGTGAAGTTAATAATGATTACTTTTAAATGAGAATTCCTTTCTAAATGAGAATTTATATAAAAAAAAAATGTCTGTAATCTTGAACAGTGATTGATAGACAAATGTAAGAATGGCATCAATAAGGTACAAAATTCATAACTTCTTCTCAATTTCGTAAAAGGTAGTTCTTAGATCTGTCGAGGCAAAAATGATAAACGAATTATTTATTTAGTTATAAAACCAGCCCAGAGACATGAAACAAAAGGAGTTTTCTCAATAAAATCTTGAGTCCAGCAAAATTTTGGCCTAAGATTACCTATTTGTATACTATCATTGGCCTACATAGTACCATTGGGAGCCATCTTTTAACATGGAAATATCCATGGCCAACTCAACTGAGGACCAGCCAACTTACACAATTTGGTTGTTTTTTATGTTTATAAAGATTTCTCCATTTTCTATTAGTATGAAAGAAAATGTATAGGTACTGTAAATGTCATCCTTCTCCAGTTTACATCATGAATTCAAACCTCCATCTGAAGATATGGTTACATTAAACCAAGAAACATCAGGCTAGGTTTTCTATTATCAAATATATATTTTTAATGGGTTGAGAATTTTCCTGTTTTATTGATTGCCGATAACTAATTTGAAAACTACCCTTTTAATTGTATCATTATAAACAATCAGATTGGTCAATTTATTTGACCAAATAACTATAGTAACTGCTAAAATCAAGAGTATTTTTGAAATTTCGAAAGAATTTTCTTCCTTCTTATTTCTTTCTTCCTTCACTAACTCAAAAAAAATATGCTAGCCTTATTGTAAATGTTTTGTAGATCAACTTCACAATCACAGTACCTGGAATTTGACTTTAAACTACAAATTTTCAATTTAGATCCATTTCCAAATTTAATTTTTCAATAGGATTAAATGTGTTCAACTTGGCAGCATGTCACGGTTTTCCCTCTTTTTTTCATTTCTATTTTTTTTATTTACTTTTTGTTTTAGTTTTCAAAGTGAAAGATTGTAATGTACAATCACTGAGATAAATAATGTAAGAAATGTCATTAAATACAATTTGATTCTAGTAGAAATTGTATGTCAGGAAGTTCTCTTGAATCTAGAAATCATTGGTCATATTATTGTGAGATGACTGGAAAGTGCTGTAGGATGTACCACAAATTTATTCACTACTGAAGCACCACTAGTTTCCACGAAAAGTTTGGGAGATATAACACTACTTAATTAAAGTTTGGGGAGAATTCAAGAGACCTTGTAGGGGATGCTAGTAGTATAATAGTATTTGCTAATAGTATTTGATGTAATATCATAAACACAGTAAAAGATAACTAAATTTTTTTTATGATTTGCTGTGTGGTTTGTGCCATCTCCCTTTAGTGTCATTCTCAACAAGTTCAATTCTGTAGGACTTAGGTCTGGGTGTCCTACTTTCCAGGCCTCATGGGCCACTACTAAAACCTTCAATATAGTTAAGGGCCGTATTTTCATTACTCGGATTCTCGGCAGTTTGCCCAGCTGCTCAAAAAGGTGGGGTGGGGGACAACCATGCAGGATAACAGACTTTCTAATGCTGTGAATTACATCGGAATGATTTTGAATTTCTGAATTTATTAGAAACAAATTCTGTAAATCTAAACATCACCTATTTTTACATTGAAGGTGGTCTTGACCCAGCAGAGCATGTGCTCTGGGTACACAATGTTCTCACTCAACAAGGACGCAAGAGCCCTTCCCTTTACACTAATAACCTTTCGTGGGCCACAAATGACACTCCGGGCTGTCAGTTGAACAACCCTGCCCTGAGTATCCTCCATAGATAATCCACTTAAACCTCTTAAACCTAAATGTTCACTTATGCATATTTCAAAAGCATTTCCTTGTGTTTTATCATCAAAACTAGAATTACGTGATTAATCGAATTATGAATACATTTAAAGAGTGAGGCCATTTCGTTATTTTTAATAAGACACTGCCTGTTCTTTACTTTATTGTTGTGTTGTTTACCCAGGTATTGATTACTTACAAATTTACTAGTGAGCGTAGTTAGTCGCATAGCTTAGGCAGATGTAGTAGATGTTTTACTATTACAACTCCGTTAGCGTGAGAGAAAGCAACATTGGGTGCCATACATCTTTGCAGAACTTAGGCAAAACTTTTACTTTTAATCCCTTCCATTTCGTAGGCAAATGTTCACAGTGATGGCTTGCTATCGCTTTCCAACGCACAAAGGGTGAATGATGATGACAGGTGAAGGATTATGGATGTGGTGATGTTCAGATGATTCATGTGGTGGTATGGGAAAGCTAACTACCTCATAGTCTCCTGGTGAAATTACTCATGCTTTGAACTCACAGTCTTTGAGTTTATAAATGAGGATGTAGCTCCAAGGGCATGTGCTTTTGAGGCAGGCAAGAGTCAAACTTTGTAGATTACAACACTAACCAGCGAAGATCCAGCAATCATTCGCCTTTGAATAGAAGCATTGATAATGAAGTTAGACTGTGATATATAGTGAAAGATAACGATCCTAAAGTGAATTCAATTAATGTATTATTTTCATTTTTTCCAGGAGGGGCCGAAACAAAGACAGAATAGCAGATATCCTACGAAATCAGTCTTCAGAAATTGATAAACCCCCTTCCCAAGAATCTCCAATATCTGATCCTGCATGTCCCATAGGACATGTTCCTCTTCCAGAAACTGAAAGACTTGAAACATTAAGGATACTACAAAAAAGTAAGTGCATTATTATTGGAATATTTTCTGCATATCGTGCAATAATAATAAACAGTGTGTTCTCTATATTGTTACCATAATATGGTATTGCTCTGTCTTCTGTAACAATTTATATCTGTATTTTAAGTATTATTTCAAATAGAGATTTTAAATGATTAAATAATATTATTAAACGTAAATAGCTTTATTATATTTAAAAAAAATTTCATATTATTTTCTTTCTTAAATATTTATGAAGAAAGCAAGTGCGATATATTGTATATAGTTGATTAGCAAATGTAATCTGTAGTGAATTTCCGAACGAGAATAGTGAAGAATAAGAATTTTACACGAAAAAAACTAATTAAATTGTAAATCGTGACTTAATAGTCCTTGCCATGGAGTAATGACATGAAAAGAAAAAATTATATATCTTTTCCCCGGAATGTTCTTCTTATTACTTACTAGTGGACCCAGCAGTGTTTTGCTATTGCAATGTATTACATTTTACATGCTACTGGTCACATGATTTTTAATCATGTTTTATGCTACGCTCTGCAAAAATTTCAATAGATGAAAGATCTTCTCACAAGTGTGATTCCGTCTACCTCTCCTGTCTTTCCATCTCTCTTTGTCTGGCTCTCTGTGTCTCTGTCTTCCTGTCTCTGTTGGAAGAAATTTCACAAATGCAGGGGCAGAATACACAATGAAGACTTCTTTTTAATTTTACTTCAGTGTGCAACGGATTGCATCAAGCACCATTACGTAGAGCGATCAGCAAATAACAGCACTACAAGGTTATGATGGAAATTATTAGTTTGACATTCTCTAGGTTTCATGAGACAGGCACTTTAGGTTTAATCTTTTGTAGATGTACTGAAATGAAATTGGTATTTGCACTGAAAGTGAAAACTTTTCCTCTCTAGTTATATCATCTAAGTTATGAGTTGTAATCTTTGAGTTCTTCCTATTAATGAATTATTCCATAAATCAAAGGCCAACTATATTTCTGGGCACCCTTTTCTATCAAACTTTTCATTTATGTAGGACATTTTACTTGCAGACAGATAAAACGTTCTGCAAGAAGAATGAAATTGGAATTAAAACTTTAATAATACAATATTAATAAATACATCTGATTTCACAGCAAACCATTTGCAGGGTTGCCAATGGTTTGGAGCCTTTTCCCCAAATTGTCAGTGTAAGAAGGGAAAATCAAGAATTGATTGTATTTATTGAAATTAAATAGTTTATTATTGTAGGGCTATGGAACCCATTTCGGGGGGGGGGGGGGGGGGTTGTTCTCACACTTACATCTGTTTTCATGATTGGAGCGTTGTGACCTATCATTAGAGGGAAGAGTAATTGTACTGTAATAAGCACTGTGGAAGTGGAATAATTTGTTAGATTTGATGTTTGTGTGGAATTTTGTGTATAATGTGGAATTGAAATTTTTATTGAAATGTTAAAATATCAATACAATTGGCTTATTATTTAAATATTGTAATTTATTTCTTCAGGTTATGAAGACTATATCAGGCAATTAAATTCTTTGCCAGTAAAAACTGATACCTTAAAAATGAAGTTAAGGAAGATAGACCTTGAGAAACAACTGAATAAATTGGAAGAAGGTATAAAGGTATTTTCGAGGCCCAAAGTGTTTATTAAAATGGATGGATGAAATGGAAAGATTTCCTTATAAAAAAAATTTGCATTTAATTTTTATTAAATAGGTGCTATTGTATTATTAAGACATAGTATTTTTGTATGTTGCTGAAATTTTATTTCATTCAAGTCTAACAAAAATGTTTCTGGTTTCTAGTACAAAGGCTTATTTAGAAAGAAAAAAAAAGCATAATGCAGAACTTTGTTTTCAGGCACAAGACTGATAGATAGAATATATATATTTTTGCATTCTAGTGACCTACGCTAATCATTTTTTAAATTTATTGTTCAAAATAAAATAGCTAACATCAAAATAGTTCAGGCGTGAGCTTGGTTTGAGTTGTGAAGTCATGCGTTTTGTGATGTTATTATGGGGACCATAAAAGTTTTTTCAGTATTTTTATTTCTTTGTAATATCAGAAGTGTTCATTTAAAAGGTTTAATGATGTATTAGTGTTTTAAAGAGATGTACCATTACCTTGATGAAAAGACCCTAGGATCATGTCTTGTTGTATGAGTTTCTTTCTAAATCTTATGTTTGTTTTCTTAAATTAGAGAACTTAGTTTACAACTCCACTTATTGTGATATTCAGTTCATTCTTGTAGTTTATTAAAAAATATAGCCTTAAGACATAATTTTGTGTGTGATCAGTTCCGTCCACAATCTTGCCCTTACATTTTCGTAAATTGGAGGACTTTGTTTGTGACTACACTAATTGTTATATTTAGTAAATTGTTGTTTGAAAAAAGGGAAAGAGAGAGAACAATTGACAATGGACATGTCCATCGTTTATTTGGACATAGTCACTGATTAATACTTCAGTGAAGTGAATATTATATATAAAATATTTGAAGCTGAATAAGAGTTAATAATAAAATGAGTCTGGGCAAGATTGTTGTAAATCTATGTATCATAATGTTGTACTGTTTTTCAACACTATCAATTAAGTGATCGATTTTAAATGTTATTTTATAAAATATATTTATTTCACTATATATTAGTAATTTTTTTACATCCCTTATTGTGTCCAATTTAATGCATTTTGCTTGTAGTACAGTTTTGATGTTTGTCAGACAAATCTTAACTCTTAACCCTGTTCAATACATAGATAAATAATTATGACAGAATACTCTCCTAAATAGAACTGTTTACAAAACTGCTATGTAAAATGTTTTGGAATTTTATTTTTTTAATTGTTATTCCCTTGCCGGATTTGTAAACATTACATCATTGTTAAAAGGCGGTTCAAACGTTACGTGCAATTTATGAAACAGATCGGAATATATAGAATAGGCGAGGGAGTTTCCTCATGTGAGGGAGAACTAGAAAATGGAATGCTTGGGTAGCATTTTGACCAGAACTGGATTTTAAATTCAAGGAGCCATAAGCATGGTCATTCAAATAATAAATACAATATTGAAGTTACTGAAGTAACAATGTAAATCAAAAACGTAATTTTATCAAAATAGGTTCTATGTAAATGTATTTTTAAATCATTGTCTATATTTTTGAGACAAAAATTCTATTAGGACATCAAATCATCAGAATGGAGCAAAGCAGCCAAATTGAGCACAACAAAGAGAAAATCTCTCTCCTGAAACTTGGTGCTCCCTTAAAGGAAGGTTTATTCTTTTCAATTGAAATTACCAATACGTAATCATGCAAGTTAGGAAAATGTGCATTGCAAATTCCACTTGTGGAAGCAGACTGAATTCTGGCTTTCACGAAAGTGCAGTGCAAGAATTATTGAAATAATTTTTTTAGAGCTTGCAAAAGTGTGTCCCAAAGATTTAGCTTTTTAAACTTATACTAAATACAGCATGGCTAGTGAGAATTGCATAGAGGAATGCAGGACCAAATGAATAAAAGTAAAAGGAAAAATACAATTGGTGCAGTTTGTACTGAGGGAAGATGAAAGCAATGAGATACTTTAAAGTTAGTACACAAATAAGTGTACAAGAAAACTAATACTGTATTGCAATAAAAATCATACATAAACACCTTCTGTATAATTACTTATCTCTACAACTTAACTTGCATAAACAATGCATAACTGTCTTATATACAAATAATTCAACAAAGCACTTAGTACTACTGGCAATGTTATTTGTATAAGAATTATAGTTATGACTTCATATGCTACTCCAAAATGGAATAGAAGTATTTCAAGGCAACATGCTAAAGGCAAAATCATTATCAACTAGGTAACGAAGATGTCAAAACGTATTATAATTTCTTTAAAAATGGACTTTTGATAACCTAATTAACTTATTCATTCTAATAAAAGGATTATAAACTAACAATACATTGATTTCATCTTTAACCATCAAATTAACATTTTATACACTAACATCATTAAACTGGACTGTAAGTTACAGTTACAATAATTCATAAAAATAGATCTGTTTGATTGGCACAAGCCATTTCTGTCCTAGGGTAAAATTTGAGCCCATTTCTGGGCACCTAATATTATAAGAGTACTTACATAAGATTGTGATCTTTGGTAACTTGTGAAGCAATGAAAAGTTCATTTAAAATACAGCTTTGTGCAAGTTAAATGCATTTGCAACCAACCTTCCCAATTTAACATGCATTGAAATTGCTGATGTTTCCTTTGGTGTCTGATGACTACAATAAAACAGCGAAAATCAAAATGTACTACATTGTCAATTAGTAAATTGGTTTTTGTAAATCAAGTTGGGAAACGATGAACAAATCTATCTTCATCGAACATTATAGTTTCGTTGCTGACCACTTTAGCTACCCTTTCTTTCCAACCATCCACGTTAAATCCAGGAAAGAAAAAATCTATCTCACGAGCAGCAGATGTCTCAGAATCTGAAATAATGCATACAAGAAAATATAACTACATGAAACTGCCCTGTAGGTACCTTACTCCTAATATTATATCACCTTTAATCTGACATATGGTATATTGGAGCAGAGGGTGTTGAATTAATTAGGTTTAAGAATAATTCAAAACTATGTATGTAAATAATTGTTTATTAATTCACTAACTTGATGAAATTTTATCCCAGTTTAAATTATATGTTGCCCAATATAATGAAACAAGTAATAGTGTTCAGTAATTCTGTGCTAAGAAAGTAAAATATTACTAGTCACTTTTTAAAAATTTTCCATGCATCAAAATTACTCTGTGGCTTTTATCTTATTGCAATTTGCCACCATTGTTTTTCCATAAACTACAAGAGAAATGCAAACAACAAACAAGAATGACATGTCATTTTGTCTCATGACATGAAAAAGTGACTTACATCATTTTGACATCTTGGCACAGAATTTATGTCAGTATTCAACACCAATAGTTTTCACAAGTAACTTGACAATTTTTAAAACACAACCCCATGAAAAGATATAAAGTGTTGTTTTACAGAAAATGTCATACCATAAATACTAGTGTCTTTATTTCAAAGTTCCTTGAAATTTGCAAGAAGTTTAGGGGAGTATATTGCCTAGGAGAGGAGGAGATGGAATTTATCAAACAAACTGGTGTAATGTTTACGGAAATCTTGTTGTTTGTTTTGTCCTTGTAACCCAAAAGAAAATAAGAAATTAGATAGCATGATTCTGGACTCCTCACCAACTTCTGAAAGCATGTTGTGTTGATGGCTGTAAATTGATTTTTGTATAGGCAGCAATATTCTCTCCTATGTTCTAATTAACTAAAGATCCTCTTACTCTCTGTAGGTTCTCTATGCAGTCTCTGTGCTCTGAGTAAATGAAAGAAACATACCCGAACCATGAACAGCATTACGGGTGTCAGACAGCCCATGCTCTCCTCTAATGGTTGCAGGTTGTGTGAATTGTGCCATGTACACTTTTGTTGGCCCCATCAGCTCCCGCCAGCTTTGAATTGCATTATCTTTGGCTAAGATATGTACATGCAAAGGCCCACTGTAAAATTAACCTCGTAAGACTACATTCAATGTAGAAATGAATTAATTTTTAGAGAATATCATCACCTGCTCATGAGAGTTACTAATCTATTGTAAAAGAATTTTTGTTTATGTTCTCCATAAAATCTCTCTGCATCTGCTTTGGCCAACATGACTTCTTTTGTATTTAAGACGTAAAAGTTATTGGATATTATTTTTCTCCGGATGCTCTGTCGACAAGTACAGAGACAAGTAAAATGATGGTAAGCAATAAAAGTCAAGACATTGAAATTGCATCAGCAAAGTAACTTGCTTACGTGCAAAGCAGAAGGCATTTTCACTGCATGAGGTTTTATAATCGCCAAAGTGAGTTGAAAACATTTCGTCATAGCACGCTTGATACTCATTTCAAAATACCATCCATTCCATTTAACCAAATGGGAGTAACCTAGGCGTAACACATATCGTTCTTGATCTTTCCTGCCGGTAACATAACCCACGTGTGAACCAGGGTCGGTTCACTCAATGTTAAAAAAGGTTGGGGACTAAGTTTGTTTCCTCAGTCATGGGCCTGGTGCAGATAGCGCTGCTGTTGCTTTTTCACGCGCATTTTCAAAGTTAAGTTGTGCGAAAGTGCAGGTTGTGGTGAGTGTCGGGAATATCCATGAGTATTATCTGCTTTTCTTATGATTTACTACAAAGAATTAATTGTATTATTTGCAGAAGAAGGGTATATATTGCGTAAGAATGTGCTCCACCTCTAGGAGGATGCCCTTTCACAAGCTTCCCAAAAATCACGATAATCACATAAATCACGAAGATTTAATTGGTAAATTTTGTATGAAGTATTATAAAAGTTAATAAAATCGTATGTTCCAATAAAATTAATCAAATATGCACACTTTGATACGATTGGTGCGACAGAATCTCATTTCTGTAGAAGATGTATTTTTTATAGTAGAAATAAATGGGGATCTGTAGACCATTAAATAATTTCTTGGTTACATTGATCCAGTTTTCTAACTGTTGGAATGTTGATACCTGTTCAATTATTTGACTTCAATTTGTTTAAATTAAAATCTTCACTTAATTTAGATCCTGACCTTGGAACACCATCATTTTGGATTTCTTCATGAATTGTATCCACAGAGAAACAACAAAGAAAGTTGAATAGCCTCTAGAAAAGGCTGGAATTTATTAAGTGACAAGGAAGATTCCATGATGCAAAAAAGGCACACTACAACCCAGTGTAGTAACTGCAAGATTCACACTTCTGGAGAGCATTGGAGAACAATATGTCATTCGTGTAACAAGTAACTGATGACACTGATAGTTGATTGGAATTATAATTTTTGATTAAATTGAAGAACCCATTATATATTTTTGGTAAGGCTCAAAAAAATTGATTTTTATTTTTTTTATTTTAAAAGTATAATGTTTTAAAACTTAAATCAGATTAACTTGATTTAAATAATATTTTTAAATATTGGATTAGATGTTACTTAAAACAAAAATATTGTAAAGTGATTTATTTATCCTTAATTACTTTAAAAGCAGAAAAAAGTTTATGAAAACATGAAGTTTAAGTTTTAAATTTATCATTACATTATTGTTTGTTTTAGTTGGTTTCTTTTCTTTTTCTTTTTTTTTAATATTTCAATTTTATTTCTTCCAATAGGTACTATAGGTTTGTGTCTGGTGCAATACTGCCCTAACCCACAAAATCTTTAAATTTGAGTACTTATAGTTTCATGATCTTAAAACACTTCTCATGCATTCACATATTCGAATAAGCTTGTGGCACCACCTATTAGCATGGTTCAGAAAAAAGGCATTATTTGTCCAAAAAAAGTTTACCATTCTTCTCTGTAATACTGCCTGAATCAAAAAACCTCTTACTGTTAAAAACAACTGATTTCATCAAAAAACTTACAACAATATTAGACAGTTTTTGAAATATTAAATTCTATTTAATAGTTGTCCAGTTCCTTCTCACTTAAATGGTATTTTATCAATATACACAAGCAAAAAGGTAAATATTATTACTGCTTTCATTAGTTTTAACAATATTAATTTTGTTCTTTAAGTGAGTATCAATAAAATTCCATTTTTATTAATACTCATCATCTTTAAGGTGTACCTTAAGTGGCATTGGCAAACATTTTACTTTAAATCTAGAATTACGAAGATGGTTGAATCTTTAAACATGTTTTTCTTGAAACTAGCTCCGTGTGTATATTGTTCCTAAATTAGTTTTTATCGACAGACAATGAAGTGCTGGATAAAAACTATTATATCATCTAAGTCCATTAATACATAACTACTACAAATTGTTTATTGTTCATTTCATAAGCATGTTCAATTTAATGTATATTGCATTGTATTTTTTTTCCTAAAAATTGTTCAATTATATAAAACAGTTTATAAGAAATGTAATATATTCTTTATATAAACTGTGTAATTGACTTAAGTCTTTATCTTTATAATTTCTTTTTTCAAATACTTTCACATATTAAAAATAATAAATATGAACTTAAATCATTGATGAATCAAAAATTATCATTTAATTTAAATCATGATTGAAATCATAACAGCTTTAATTTTTGGTGAAATTTTTTAGCCAAAAATAGAATTATAATTTTGATAAATTATCAATCATTGGTTCAGTGACTATTTTGTGCAAGTCTTTGAAAACCAAGGAAAATAAAACAAAAATGTATAAATTACACTTGTTTTGTGTTTGGCATGTCAATTTGACTCGTGGTTAGTAATATCATGCCAGTAAATATGCTTAGTGTTCTAGGATTAAAGAGGGAATTTGCATTGTTAACAAAAAATGTTTTATGAAATGAACATTTGTGGAAGATATAACAATTAAAATGTAGCCTGTTGTTTCCATGAATTTTTAGGCAATCTTCTTTTGGGTATATTCTTAACTTTAAAATAAAATAAAAAATTGGCACAGATACTGTTTAAGCTGCAATACAAGATTTTTCATTTTTTGTAGCTATCTGATTGGTTACTGCACATCATGACTGTATTTCCACCAAGTTCACACATAAACTATCCTCATTGAAACCTACAAATGGGCAGAACAATACTGAATTGTTTCAGATTGAAACTGTATTGATCAGAACAATACAGAATTTTGATAGTATAGGTAGTAAAATTGGACTCAATTTTACTGTAACTATCAATACTATTATTACAGGATTTATTGTTCAGGTGGTTCAATTCAAATTTGGCTACATTTAATTAAAAATCATCTAAAACATATTAACCTTTTGTGGCACTAAATTATGTGAAATATCCAAAAAAGTATTTTACCTAATTTGGACAGTGCCCTTAATATTTTTAAATTTTCAAAATAAACTTTAGATATCAGAGTAATATAATTTATTACACCACGGTTTTTTTATTACACATTCCAAAACAAACGTTTTTTAATTGTTACATTCAAAATTGTTTTGATTATTTATTAATAAATTTTAATGTTGTTAAGCAAGTTTTTTTTTAAACAAGGTAATTATTAATTTAATTATAGTATAATTATATATATAATATACTATATATAATATATATATATCTATATATATATAATATATATTATCTATATAATAATATATATAGCCAAATAACTTTCATAAATCCATGTAGTATAACCTAAATACATGTGTCATAGATTCTGTTCCTATTTGTTAAAATTATTGTATTTATTGTATTATAAGTATTTTAACTAATCATTTCGTATATATATATTACATATATATTATATATATATATATAATATATATTCGTGTAACTATATTTTATGATAAATATATAAGATATATATAGTATATATATATATATAATATATATATAATAGAATTACAAAAGTGTCCAATACCATATACGAAATGATTAGTTATAATATATAATATATAAGAAATAATATAATTACAATACTTTTAAACAAATAGAACAATAGAACAGAATCTATGACACATGTATTTAGGTTATACTACATGGATTTAATGATTATTTGGCATGGTGTAAATGCTCACAAATTACAATTATGCAACAAGATTCCAAAATGAATTATAAACACCTCCACTGCTGGAAGGGCGAAAAACCTAGCAATGTATTTGTCTACCACCAGTCTTCTTAAGATCATCTTCCAAAATACCAAAAACAAAGTTTTAGACATGGTAAATAAATATCGCGACACAATTCACTATACTTAAAAGGCATGACATTCTACATACTAACAAAATACTCAAAATTTTAGATAAAAAGAGCACCAGCTGCCTGCACGTAACGAAAAACAAACACCAACATTGACAGCTTTTTGAATTGCACGACATGTGCATGACGTCACACATTTAGTTCGGTCCATTATGTACCTGCTGTAGATGGCGCAGAAATCATTACCCCGTTTTGACCGCCAAGTTTCACGCCTCTGCATTTTGAATTGCATGACGTCACACCATCAGTTTAGCTCACTACGAGCCATTCCATATCTTGTGTGAGCAAAACAGTGCAATTCTGAGAGCGCCATGATTCTTACACGCCTTTTCTGAGTTTTAGTTGTTTCATCATTATTCTATTAATTAGCATGCATTATGGGAAAATTTTAAGAAGATATCATAGTTCTGTTGAAACAAAAAACATTTGCTCACATAAATTCGATGAAAAGATTTTGACGGTGCAGAAAGATCGACCCAACCCTTCATTATTAACTTTGACAACTTCACGGTACCCAAAGAAACAATGTTTACGCGAGGCACTTCATGGTGTCTTGTTATGAGGTATACAAGTGTTCAAGTGGAAGTAGTATTCAATATTCTTTTAATATAAAAAGCAAGGACATCAAAATACACCAGTAAAAATGTTTGAGTTTCTACTGAATTGTATAATTTAGTGGCTCTTACAGAATCAGCTAAAGCTCACGAAAAATTGGAATGTTTCTTATCATATTGATCACAATCTAACAAATTTTTAGTTTTACTTGTTACACCTCACCTCAAATTTAAACCCCATCGTACGTCTGCAGTCACAGGGACAACGAACTAAGTCTGTAGCAATATGAATTTCAGATTTACCGCCTCACACCGCCTCGCCATCGGAGATATTTTTTTTAATATGCATAATCGATCTTGATTTTCCCACGTGGAAATCAGGAATAACAGATATTGTAGATTTTGGAACACTATAGCAGGTAGTACGTTCTATTTGGTGGAGCAGTATCATTCGTTCAGTATTCAGTACGTGATCAGACTTTGTTTCAACTTACCTCAAATATTTTTCTATTGGCTGTGATGTTGATGTTAAGAAAGTGTTAACTAGATATTTAACTTGCATGACAGTGATCACGCAATTATTATGCCTCGTCTCCGTGAGAGATTTGTTTTCCTTTGCGGAAGTGTCATTTGATGTCCAATAAAAAATATAAATATGGGCAAGTGTTGTGTAATATAGAATAGTGTAATAGAATTACTGTATTATTCAGTACTAATATATATTTGTTTACAATAGTGTGGTTCCAAGA